GGTGTCACTGCTGCTGGAGCTAAAATGCCTAAACCAGCTCCTTAGGTGCATTATCAGGCAACCCAACTGACTGTAGCATCAGCCACAGAAAGTGAGAAAAATGACTTGGAAACACTGTAGTGACTCACAGCTTCATTAACAAGCTCAGCTTTTTGTTAAGTCAGAATTTTAACAAAGTAAGCAGGCTACAGAGGCATTTTATAACACACCTTTAAGGTATTAGGAGGCATTTGGCCCCTAATTCTCCTCATCTCAGTGTGCTTTACATTACTTGTGGGCTGCAAGGCAAAACTAGTTCTGCACACTGCAGTTTAGATAGTTTTCCTTTCTAGTTTTGAACTATAAAAATAGCCATATTGTAAGAGCACAGGTCTAGCGCTCTGCTCTTCAGAAGTAGCCAAAATAAAGCCAGAAAAAAAAAAGGGGGGGGGGGGGGGGGGGAAAAAACAGTCTTTTACCTTCTTATACCCTGTGCAATTGTTAAAGATCTCCCGATTCAGAGGTTGCATCCAGGCCATCACTTTTAATAAGAACTTATCTGTCCTTCATCGATTTTTCAATTTGTTTAGACTTCTGCTATCCATAACACCCTTTGGCAATGAGTTTCACATGGTAACTGCTGCTTGACAGAGTGCCTCCTCTTCGCCTGCTTCAACTCAGTTTAGCGAGCACAAGAACCATGAAGAATAACTCCCTACTCCTCTTCCCCACCCCATTCACAACAGCGTAAAACATTGGCAATTTCTGTAATAAGTCACCTCTTCTCTATGGCAAAGAGAAATTACATTGACTGACTTCAGACCCATCTTTGATGGCCTTCTCTGGACCTTCCCTAGGCCTCCACTACCTTCAAGAGGTGGCAATAAGAACTGCATAGTGTTTAAGATACTGGCACACCATGAATTTACATACTGATGGTTTCTGTTTGGTTTACCAGCTTGGGTAAATATCCAGAGAGAGTTTGTTGATTCTTCAGGGAGTGTAGCATTTCCTCCCAGCTGGCCATTAGTCTCTCTGCAGGAACTTTTTGGGGAGTCTTAAGTAGTCTGCCGAGGTGACAGGTGAAATTTGTCATCTCCCAATAACTGCTGCTACAGATAAATTTTTTTACCCCATTCATACCAGTGAAACTCACAGCTTTCAAATCCCTGCCGTCTTCCCCCCCTCAAAGTCTTCCCAAAAGCAGGGCAGCTTGTGCCGCTCAAAGCTTACAGATGCTTTCTTCCGCCTGTACACCCAGTGGGAAGTCCCACAAGCCAGAGAAGCAGAAAGTACATGGTTCTCTCCAACGAGCCAGAAGAAGCATCGTTGCATTAAAATCTATACTCACCAACCAAGGGAACTTTCTTAAGCTTATCCCAGTGAATATCCCAGTCTTAAGAAATTTCATCACCATATAATGAGTGACTGTCCCGAAGGATCAGTCAGACTTGGCACAGCGATGCACAATTTGCTACCCTGCCTCATGAGCCCCTGCTAATCCCAAGAGATGTGCTTCACCAAATGTAGCTGCTCCATATAATTGCTTGGCTTATCTCCCCTCTCTTAGCTGAACTACCATGGTTCCAAAAGCCCTTCAGATTAATGATACATTGATTTTAATCTGCAAGCATATCTACCTGTGTAATGCTACGTCCATCACATGTTCATAACAGCACTGTCAGTCACAGTGCTCAGCTGCAGCTTCTCTTAGTGGCAGCTCAAATACTGCCAAATTAGCGAATGCTGGGAGAGACATCAGAGCAGTTTGACCCCAATTTCAGAATTTCTGGGAAGCAGTTGTAATGGACCACAAGAAAGATAATGCCAAACAAAGTTATGAGCTAAAACACTGCATCTCAGCATACCTGACCAGAAAACTGAGCAGGTAATTGAGCAAACACAGACTCCTGTGAACATGCAGTTAACAAAAGTAGCTCAAGACAGCTTAACAAAATAACAGCACAGACACATTTTACTTCCATAGTTACAAACCTCTGAATTTGAATGAGCAAACTATAGAAATAACAAACTTTGTACATCAACAAAACTCTACTACTACCCGCAAGCGTAAGATAGCACGTGAAAGCTAGGCAAATAACGTAAGCCAGTTCAGCATATTGAGATCTAAACCTTCCTTTGGAATATCTCATTTTCTGAACATTTTGCATACAGTGCCTGCAAAATTAACGCTGGGTGTGTTAAGTGCTGGGAGAGAAGAGTCCCTTCTCTTTCTTAAGGAAACCAATGTGGGATAGAACATCACTTTCACTCAATAGGATGAGAAATTCTACCAAATCCCTTGCTGGAGTTCTGATATAAAGGCAATTCAGAAAGTCAGCCAGAAACCTGCCCACACCCATCACCATTACTTTCTAAGACTGAAATGAGAAAAAGTTGCATTTAAGTTTTGCAGTTAGTCACCTCAATTTTCTCTTTTGAAACATACACACACTATATATATATATAAACACACACACACACGCACAGAAACACTGCATATTTATATACACACACACATATAAAAATAACTTCTGGTGTTTCCTGTGAAATCCCTAGTCTGACTGTTCTTAAAGTGCTGAATCTAATAGATGGCTTCCCAAGTTAATTTACCGCCTGTATTATAAAATGCTGCCATCCAACAAGGGATCAGAAGGAGCTAGGAGCTTGAATACAGAAACCAGTCTGCTCACAATGAGCAGAGAAATTATCGTTGTAAAGCAGTTTACAAAAAGCGTCTTAAACACTATGACAAGAATATGGCAGTCTGTTCAGAGCTACACCAGGCAGGAAAAGAAGTTCAAGTCACAGGACTAGTTACTTGCTGCTGTCCGGCAAGGTGTACACAAACAGATAAGGATTTAGTATCTCCTGCCTCAGACTGGACTGCTGTCGAGGCCTTGAGCAGCAAAAAGTCAGCATATACTGCTTGCTCACATCCCCTGTCTTTGGTAACCAGCAGAGAACATGTTACTTAGCTTTAGCATGAACCAAGATGATGCATTTCTTGTTAGTCTAAAAAAATCTAGTTCCAGCTCAAATGGTTTCAGAGAAGATTTAGTGGAGAAGAATGAGGATGTCCTCCTTGAGATAGATGTTCTGGCCGCTTGTGGGCATAAGTCTCCCAGCAGGTCTTGACACTTGATAACGTTACTGCAGAAAATGCATTTAAGCTCAGTTCTGTTAATACGGTCCTCTCCCAGTTGAGGCTAGAGGATCTCTGTTCACCTGGTATCTTCTGCAATTATCCTACCATTGTTCCAGCAGCAGAACTACTACTGGTGAGGAAAAGTTACCCACAGTAAGGGAATGGGCTCTTCCTCCAAGCCACAGAAAGGGGACAATGGGTGGACTTACTTTGCAATTCGATAACAGTACTTCTTATCATCTCAGACATTTGCATAAAAAAGCTTCCTCATCTCTTGATTTAATGAATAAAGGAATCAGATCTTTCAATGCATATTGCAAATAACCACAAATATTTGCCATCTGAAAGAGCTGTACATGGAACTCTCTCTCCATACCCACTGGCTACAAGTAAACATTTCTCAAGTGGTCATCTGGGAGAGCTGGAAGTGGACAGAGCTCAATGCCTAGCCAAGTTGACTCTTCAAGGAAAACTCTGGACAACGCAATGCTCAAAGTCTTGGAGATACTTTGCAGTGGCTTCACTACGTTCAGTTTTTCCTCAAACAAATGTTCTTAAGATTTTCTAGCAAGCTGGTCATTTTCCTGCTATATCAAATTTCTTGATACCTACTTGGGAGAAAGTTTAGTTGATACATTAACATTTGCAAGGCATATTTCTTTGTGCTGTGAAACAAGTCAAGTGAAGAGGTGAAGAAACTTCCCCCAGCCACAGTGGCAGCTACAGAGCTGAGGGGGGACCCCCATCCTCACTCCCGTAACTCCTTGTCATTTTGCAACTCAAGAAAAGCATAGCCAACAGGCATTTAGATGAATGACAGCCCTGCACAGCAATCTGCCTTCAACCACTCGAGCTAAAGCTGCTTTTTACAGTCAGTAGCAGAATCACATCCATCCCCTTTCAGGGGCAAACCCCAAGAGCCGCCTAGCAGGCATACGCTGGTGATACACTATACCCCATGATCTATCCATGGGGTTAGGCAGAAAGTAGTATCCAAGGTACCTATCGTGGCAACATCTAAATGCAAGTATCAGAGCAGTTTACAGACAAAAAGGTCTTTCCCCCAGGCTGTTTAAAATTTGCATGTTCCTGTGTAGCACTGAAGATAGCAGCAATGGTGATTCATTAAGATAATGATTTAAGTAGGAAGCTTAAGAAAGTCAGGGTGGATTAACATCCAAAGGGCTGCAGTTGGAGCTTCTCGACTCCAGGCTGCCACCTTCCCTTTTAAGGGAAGGGACAAATTCCAAAAGTCAGAACTATGAATTAACAGCAACTTTTTCAAAACGACAATGCATTAAAAGACAAGAGCATCATCTCTACTCCAGCCCATCCTCCTTGGCAAGGTCAAGCACAAGATTCTGTGCTGCAGGAAAATTTTCAAGGCATTAGAAATTATTGGCCTTTATTTTAGTTTGTTACTCTAGGTTCTCCTTGAAAAAAGACTGTGAAAATTTATTTGGAACTCATTTTCTGTCCACCTTAGAAACAATACAAGTTTTCCTCCAACCAGTTGTCTTTCCCCAGTATAGTATAATCAGATAGGTTTGATAAATTGATTGGTCCCCACATAATAATGAAATATACACATTGAAAAAAAGCATACAAGTCCTTTCCACACCCCAACATTTAATCGAATCCTAATCAGTTACAAGTTGAAACATCCGTTCTGTCCTTAACACAGGGTTAATGCTCAGACAGTAACAGGCAGCTCATACTTCATCCCTGCTAAGAGAGAGGCCTCTGTGCAGTGATTTTGATATAATACCTCCTGTTGCCTTCTAGAGAGATGCACAGGCAACCAGTTTTGCTATTCTTCTGCTCACTCATAGTAGTTGCAATAGGGCATCCCAGTGTATATTGCCCCACTCACCGCTAGCTGTGCTTGGGCTGAACGTCTTCTAGGCACTCTATCCCATGCTGATTCAGTACAGAATAGCTTCCTAGAATGCAATTATAGAAAGAGTAAGGCTTTGTCTTAGAAAGGGATTATTCCAGAACAGCTATTCCTTATTAACTATTCCCAGTCACCTCTTCATTAGGATGGAGTTAATTGGGAATAGGTCTTCTGCTCAGATTTGTAACTTACCTTGGTCTGAATCTATGACCCTGTTTGGATGAGTCCTCAGTACAGCGTCATACAATCATAGCAATGGCTTCCTCAATAAAACCAGACTCATAGTTGCAATGAAAGTAGAGCTGCTGTGTGGACACATCTCAGCTGAGTTTGTTGTAAAAGTTGGGCCGATAACAGGATCAAGAAATATGTAAAAACTAATTGTTCCGATAATGATAGACCTCATCGGTACTGTATGTGACATTTTGTACTTTACAAGTCTCTGGATCCGCTTTGTTCAAATGTGGTTTATTCCTTAGATATACGGAGACCTTAACAGCAGGGAATTTTTGAGTTCTGTAGCTTCTTTGTTTATTAAGTTCTTAGCTTGCAAGATTTCTCATCCAAAAAGGGCTGAGAAAGTACCTGGCACATCTTGGATGCTTATTGAATACATTAAATAAATCAAACGTTTTATGATAAAATTCCACTCCCCCACACCAAACAGATGTAGGTGCAAGTCAAAGAGGCTTGAAAAATTGCACTAAAATTGATTTTGCTCCAGTTTTCCCCAAAGGAAAAAATTTTGTGTGTGGGTTGAGACAAAAACATGGAAAATTTCAGCTATCATGAGCAACCAAAGAGAGAAATGGAGGAAAGACAGAAGCCAAAACCAAACCTCACGTTCAGAGTGCATAATTCATATTCTCTACAGTGTTCTGTATTACAGGCATT